GTTTCTCTTTTTCTCAAAAAATTACCAAAAAAGGAAATTTTCTGAAAAATTGGGGATCAGCGGAAAGAGTTTTTTTTAGTTCTTTTAAATTGATTTAATAAAGGTATAAAGATTTTGTTAATCAAAAAGTATAAAAAACTTTTTACAAATATTTTTTTTAATATAGAATCAAAGAATCATTAGAAAAGTTTTTGATTAGTAATAAAAATTTTTATTGATTATAATATTCTTCTATAACTTTTGAGAAAATATATTTTGATTATAACTAAAGGGTTAAAGCTTAATATAGACTAGAGATCATTTAGTCTTATTGCTTGATTAGTATTAAAAAAAATCATAGTCATAAACTTTATCTAATTAAAATAATAATAAAAAAATTGCAACTTAAACAAATAGTAATTTTTTTATTATCTAAAGACTTGTTATTCATATCTTATTTATATTATAAAACTTGATTTGTAAGTTAATTCAATTAGAAAAGTGGAGTATAAATAAGATATTAATTAACTCTTTTGATTATTACTAATATTATCAGAATATATAAATATGATCAATAGGAACTTGTTTATATTTTTGCTATCAATAACTATATATTATTAAAAATAAATTAATAAATTAATTAATCAAAATTTTATATATTATGATCTTAATTTTGATTATTAAATTATTTATATTCTTAGTTTTATATTGATTTGAATTATAAAAAATTGACTTTTGATTATAAGGCTGACTTTTGATTATAAAAATTTGACTTTTGATAATAAAATTATATCCTATAACCTAAAATATTAAAGAGATATAGTTTATTTTCGGTTATAAAACTTTTTATTATAGGATATAATGTTAGACTTTAAAAACGCATCATTAGTAATAATCTATTAATTGTAATATATAAATTAAAAGTATTTTAATTTAAAATTCATTACAAAATAACAAATTGATTTTAAAATTAAAACTTTTTATGTTTATATTGAGTTAATTAAATTAGAATAAAAGTTTGACCTTAATATGTACCATACTACTCAAATTAATTAATTAATGAATTTATAATTTCGAATTATTGCAAAAAAAAAAAAAAAATTGAGATGCCCATTCAAAATTTTAGAACATCTGATGCCACATAAGCCACCCGGGTCTATTACTTTAAACCAAAAAAAAAAAGAGTCATTACACAATCTTGTTAATACAAGATAGGCTGAAAAAAAGGTTCAAGTTTTTCGGTTATTAAATCCTATTTTTATAACTAACAATAAAAAATTTGGTGGGGGGAATATGAAACTTCGACTTAGCCTCGTATAACGTAAACATGAATACAAGCAATTTATTCCGGATAATTTAACCAATCAAAAAATCATTTTATTCATTATTTATATAAAAAAAAAAAGAATTTAGAGAGGACAAAGAAATAGTTATTATTGAAATGGGTGCATTTAGCCGACTGGTAAGCGCGAACGATGTCAGATATTGTCAGAATTCTATGAACTTGGGTTATGCTGGTGGAACAAGAAAAGTTTACAGTCTTGAAAGTAAAAAGGAAAGTTTCGAAAGATGTATGAAATACGCTGAATTGGGCGATGCCAATGAAGCGAATAATGTTGGTTGGTGTTATCATAATGGAATAGGGGTCAAGAAGAGTGAAAAGGAAACCTTCAAATGGTATCTGAGATCCGCCGACTTAGGTGATGTCAATGGAACGAATAATGTCGGTTGGTGTTATCATTTTGGATTTGGGGTTGAGAAGAACGAGCATAACGCCTTCGAATATTATCTAAAATCCGCTGAATTGGGTCACGTTGGCGGAATGTGTAACGTTGGCTGGTGTTATCAACACGGAATCGGTGTAGAAAAAGATGAACAAAAGGCATTCGAATATTACCTGGAATCCGCAAACCTTGGCGATGCGGTTGGAATGTTAAATCTCGGATATTGTTATCGTAATGGAATCGGGGTGGAAAGAAATTTACAGCTGGCTGATATTTGGCTTCGAAAGTAACTGCTTAATATTATAGTTTTCTTTTCTTCACTTTATTCCAAGTAAAATATTTTATTAACGAGGTAAAATACGCAATAGGGAACGAGATAAATTTTTCGGTACATAATTTTATTTTGGTAATCCTCATCCCTTTCAAGCACTAATTCATTTGGAAATTTTCATAGGAATGGTTAACTCATCACGCATATATACTAGGAATACTGATATTAATGAGGATTTGAGAGAATTATTAAATCACAAATATCAGCTATTATGGATATCATATGATGAATTCAACAACATTTCAATGATTGGTCAAGGTGGATCCGCAACGGTCTTTAAAGCTCAATGGGAAGTAAACATTTTCAGTGGTGAATTGAATGGTGTATTATCATTTCCTATAGCACTTAAATTAATAAAAGGATCAAATGTTCACTATCAAGAATTTTTGAAAGAGGTAATTTGTCATAACTTTAATCTTTGGTTTACATCTGTTCATTGTGTGTCAAAAAATAACAAAATTTGATGTTAAGTTGGAAGCATATTGTAAAGTCGGATATGAAAATCCTTCGTTCTTAAAATGCTACGGAATATCAAGAGATAAAATCTCGAAGGATTACATCCTCGTGTTGGATTATGCGTCCTTGGGCTCTTTGCGTAAAAATCTTCTTCATGTTTCACAAATGAAGTGGAAACAAAGGTTGAATTTGTTGCATTGTATATCTTCTGATATTCAGGCGATTCATTCTCGAGACCTCATACACCGAGACCTACATAGCGGGAATATTCTGCAGGATAGTCTACATAGTGCATATATTGCAGATTTGGGACTTTCTATACCGGTTGGAACAAAACAGGATGAGATTTATGGAGTTGTACCCTACATTGCCCCAGAGGTTTTGTTAGGCCGACAAATCACAAAATCAGCTGATGTCTATAGCTTCGGAATCATTATGACGGAGATATCATCCGGGAGAGAGGCTTTTGATGATTATAAATTTGACGTCGAACTTTCAATGAATATTTGCAATGGATTGCGGCCTGGATTTGCTCCTGAGACCCCTAGCTGTTATGTTGAATTGGCAAGGCAATGCATGGATTCAGATCCACAAAAGCGGCCTACATCTCATGATATTTATTTGAAAATTAAAGAATGGAATGGGATAATGAAAGACGTAGATGAAGGTGAAATCAAAAAGCAATTCTTAGATGCCGATAGAGCAATTGATATATCGCCAATTGCGAAAATTGGTTATTGGCTTGTGAAAAAATCCTTGGACTTTGTTCGACCAATTACCAAACCAGATAATGTGTATGCCAGCAAACTCATAAACAAACAAGAAATATCGAAGGCGATTAAAGGTACATTATTAATTTATTTTGCCATGATTTCAAAGTGCCGTATTAATGCATAATACATAAATGTATTTAGGTTCTAAACTTGAGCTTAATGATGATGTGCACCCAGATAGCATGTTGATTAACTTGTGCATTAATGACTGATTTTTTTTTTTTTTTAAAAAAAAAAAATTCTTTAAAGTATCCACAACTCTTTAAATACATCCTTTTTCTGCCTTCTCACTCATTTGTCGAAACCGTCAACGCTTATCGTGAAATACTCATTTCAAGTTACAGTACAAATTATTCACTAATACTGTATCTTATAGTAATAAAAAGTTTTCATTCTGGTTCATTTGCTTGTTTAAATATGAAATTATATGGAGGTTCATATAATTGAATTATACTGGATTCTTTAGATTGCAAAAAAGATTTTACGAAGGGATGACGAAAGCACTCGAGCCTCTGCGAAAACAAAATAATCAAAATTTGAATTGTGCAATCGAAATCTACTTATAGTCAAAATTTTTCACAGAACCTGGCTATCACTATCTTCTCGTGTAAATGGGAAATATCAAACGAAATAACATTGAACTTAATGATCAATGAATTAAGAGAATCCAATGGACCAAAATTTACAAATAATGGCAAAGGAGGATTGGGCATATCCCCCTCTGGACCGACGAATCTTCTATAAGCATAGAAAATTCGAGTTCGACATCACAAGATAACTTCACAATCCTATCTGTGCAAAAAAAAAAAGCAACAATTACAAATCAATCAAGGTTTGGGTATCATAAACAGTTTTAAACTCATTTCATCATATAGTCTAAGATGGCAAACATCATCCACAGAGATTTCGGAATTACGACAATGGAACGGACCACCTCCGTCATCAGACTTTTTAGCACAGTATTTGAAGGGAATGAAATTATCCCAATTGGTGTTACCCTTTGTATGGTACCCTAAAAATGGACGAATAATTTGCGGGGGTGATTATACGCCATCTATGAACGGAGTCGGCCGCAGAAAATCATGAAAATCATTAAACATTAAGTCATCGTGTAACATTGATGCACATGCCTAAATCGTTATAAAATGAATTAACGCATCCGATGTTATTAGATTTTAATTTTTCTCAGGATGCCTAGTTTAATAGCATACTCGTTAACCTCTATTCTATTCACTATTTCATATTTCTTTACTCTTCTGTCTCTGTTATTACCGAACTGGTCAGTTAAATATCGTATTATCTCTTTCGAATCTATTCTAATACACCAATACAATTTCTTTGATAATAGGTTAGTTTTTACCGCGAAACCATTCCGATCGACGACAAATTACGGTCTATTTAAGGTTCACACGTAACATTATTACTATTTAGTCGAAGTCAATATTGAACTAATATTCTTTTCTCGTTCAATAATCTGGCTGTTAATTGTCGTTAAAAAAAAGAAATGCACAAGTTCAAGCAATAAGTGTCAAGTTTTTCCGTCCTCGGAATATAATGATTGTCAAGAGGAAAATTTCTGCGAGGAGTGGGAAGCCGCTGCTGCGTCAATGATTTTTGCCGCGATTGTAGGAGGATTAGCTTGGCTTTATTTAATTAGTGCATTGTTAGGCGGTCGAGCAAAACGTGAACGAGCGTGGAAAGGGATAACTGCATTGTTCTTCATACATGGCAAGATTGATTATACTGCATAGGTTTTCACCTGACAATAATGGAATAATAATTTTACGATTTTATTCTTAACAGCTTTTCTTCAGCTCGCTTCAGTCCTTCTGATTGCCCACCTTTACACTACATCGGATCGGTTTTATTATGGAGTCAAGTACGATATTAGTTTTGCATTTGCTAACGTCTCGGCGGCTTTCAGTTTTGTCCTCGCAATTTCATTATTCCTGAATGGAATATTGTCGCCACCCGAATATATTCGAATATCTTGATTAGTATTTCCATACCATACAACTAATAGATACTGGTACTAGGCGTGAACATTTGATTTTCCTATATTTTTATAATAACAAAGAACATTGCTCGTTACCAAGTCATTTTATTCATACTCAACAAGGTTATAATATACACAATTTTTTATTCTTCAATCGAATCAAAAAATGAATTAACATTGCAATAAACAGCATACATTCATAAATTAATATTAATACGAGTTTATCTGTAAAGAAAATTCCTTCCTTCATCTTAAATTCTCACAATTTGGCTTTTGTTTTTCCACCCGCTAGTACATCACCGAGTTTAGTGGCAAGCATCATGTTGCCTTTAATCTGTAGAATAAAAATCAAAAAATGTATTTTTAGCATATAAGGAACTTCTTCAATAAACAGTGTCAAATGAGATCAAAGGATACATTGTACCTTGAGTTTTCCAGCCATGAATGCTTTCTGTGCATTTAATTTACCGCTCGCCAATTCCAGGAAATCCGAGTCACTAACAGTTATGATAACGTCCGTCTTCTTAGGGGAAGGACCAACACCGACGACACCATCCCCAGTTTTAAAATCGATATACCATGATTGTTTCTTGTTCTCAGCGTTCATAATATCCACCTGGAAAGATCCTTTTACCTAAGAATGCACAAATCACATTATTGTAACACTTGATACAAAATGATGACCAAAGCTTTTGGTACAATACCTTTTTAACTTGTGCTTGACGTTCTGCCGGCGAAGCTGAATCTAACCTGGATTTAAGTTGTTCAAATACTGCTGAGGCTTGGAATCCGGCGACTTTAAGACTTCCGCTGGGAGCTGTAGTAGTCTTGGGAGTGGCGCTGGAGCCGGTTCCTTTCAATTCAACTGCTGCCGAATTAATACAAATAACATCGCGTTCGACAACGCGCGTTTGAAAGATAATTTTACTTCCTTCCTATTTACACACCCAATCAGATTATTTGGAAAAATTTCGAAGGTTCAATAAGGTAAACATCAGAAACCTAACCTTCCACATCTGAGTTTCAAGTGTTTCACCAGGAAATACAGGTGAAGCGAGGCGACATTTAATACTCTTGAAAACATTTGAGTCGTTGTTTCCATATTTCTGGAGAACGTGTTTTCCAGAAATGCCAAAGGTACACATTCCATGGAGTATAGGAACTTTAAATCCACCCATCGAGGACATATTAGGATCGATGTGCAGTGG